AAATTTTTTTTTTGTCAAAATATTGAAATCAGTTAAGAATAATTTCTAATATGTGAAATAATTTTGGGCTTAATGGATAACGTGAAAATAGTTGATACTATAATTTGATGGGCATTATGGGGGGTGCCATAACCTTCATCATATGTAACCATACTTCGAAACCTAACTTAATTTCATATACTAGAATCTATTACTTTAAGAAACTTGGGCTAAGCTTAGGATCTCTTCAAAAGTGAATAGATTCAATTAGATGGCTAATCACATCTAAATAAAAAAAGATTAATGGTAACTCTATGTATAATGGTCAAGTTCATGGCTTGTACATTATAACAATTTGGTGACCCCACTAGGAAGTAGAGAGTCATGCAAATAATATGTTTCTTGTTAACCAAGCTTTACATAATTTGATGGGTTTTAATAGTTTTCCTTTATTTGTTTTACCTATTTATTGTTATTTTTCTTTGTATCATTCATATGCATTTCTATAACATGAGCTTTATACCTAAACTCTATCCTTTTAGAAGGGAGTAAAGTACCTATATTTCATGAAGTTTTAATACCTATACAGTGACTAAGAAAATACTCTCACTCAAATTGAACCCTTTTTTCATTTGTAGTTTATAATGGATGAGGATTTTGGTGCCTTACTAGTCTATAATGGATAAGGATATGAGTAATAATTTGAGAATCTTTAGATTGTCAACCCTAAACCACATTTAGTGAACTTTAGAAAAACTTAATTTATAAGTAGAGCCACGTCTTTCTACCCTTAAAATTGACCAAAAATTTAAGACTCATCTCTTTTATTATATATGGTACCCTGATTTTTTTCCTATTCAACACACTAACTAATCGTTTCTTTTATCTTTCCGTTTTGCATGATTCATACTCATACCATATAGTTGTATAAGAAATATTTACCTTACATATAGCTTTTGACAAAGACTTTTCATAGAGTCCATAAATGGCTAGTTTGTTTTTCATCCGCATTGGCTCCCTACAAGTCCCCAAATGAAGTAAAAATTCAATCAAAAAGGATTTAACAAAATGAGGGAGATTGTTTACCAACCAATTATGTTTCTACCTTGTCTAAAGAAATATGTTTCCTTATTAAATAAAATAATCTAAAATACTCGACTAATGTATGGAAGAAGATGAGCCCATCAAGATTTTTACCAAAGGCATAAACATATAGCACATCTTATTTCGATAAGGGTTGAGAATCAACTAATCAGAGAAGCAATTTAATCTTGAGATCCGTTATACAAGTGTTTTATTTTTAATGAAGTAAAATTGACACCAACTATTGAAGAATACTCGACTTTGTTAGGTTTGTATCTCAAGGTTCCTGATAAAATGCATGCCAAAAAATACAAGTCAAGATTTCATAAAAAGCTGGTGAGTCTCATAAGCATGGACAAAGAGACTTTATATTCATAGTCAAAGTGAAAACAAGAGCATATTTGCTTGTCTTTCAAATTCTTTCATGATTTCCTTGTGCAACACCCTGATGATAAGCAATGGCTAGATGTGTTTGCTTTAGTTTTATAAGGAATGATGATTTTTTCGAAGGTTTTGGGTTACATTGAGATGGTTGACTTCTTCAAAAATGTGAAAGATGGTTGCAAGAAAAATGGGTTACTAACAATATTGGTGAAAACTATCAAATCATTGAGCTATTATTTTCAAAATTTAGGCATTTCGTAAGATGTGTGCCACTATTGATCTATGGATGAAAGGCCATTTTGAATGTAAGAAAAGAGCATTCTCAAAGCTTTACTTTTGTAATCAAGTTACGATTAAAGAATTTTGTGAAAGTGAATGACGAAAACACAAATTTAAGAAAGAATGGGTGACTTTCCTATAAAGATTGACAAACACCCAAGTAAAATGGTTAGCTCCATTGATGAATCGGGAGCCCATGTTATAATAAATTAGAGATAAGACTCTGGTTTCACTCCTAGGCATATAGGGACTAATGAGTTATACGCCACTTTTGGTGAGTTGTAGCATTAACTCTTTATTAACAAGGTTAATAGTAATGACTCCACAACGACAAAAAATCATTTCAAAATAATTTTAACAATGATAAATAACTATTTAACAATGATTTTGACCATTGCAATATATTAATTTTCTTGTAATGAAAGCACAAAAAAATATGTTCAGTAATCACAGTTACTTTAATTTAAATTAAATGAATGCTATTTTTAAAATTGTACAAAACTAAAAGATAAAAAGTCTAAAAGACACAATCAATTATCATAATTAATAGATAAATATTATTTTTAAAGTTGAAGAAAATGAAAAGGTGAAAAACAAGAAAATGAACAATAAATTATCAAAATTAATATATAAATATTATTTTAAACAAAAGTAAAGTAAAAAGGCAAAGAAAGCAATACATAATCAATTTAATATATATATATATATCTTTAAAATGGTGAAAATCAAAAACTAAAAAAAAAATTGATTATCACGATTAATAAATACACAATATTTTTATTAAAATTAAAAAAAATCAAAAGGTAAATAAAGCCCAAAAAACACGATCAGTGATCACAATTAATCTAATTTTAAATAAATAAATATTATTTTTAATAATGAAAAAAACTAAAAGATAATAAAACCCAAAAACATAATCAACGATCACAATTAATAGAAAAATATTTTCTTAAAAATGAAAAAATTGAAAAGATAAAAAAAGAAAAAAATACACAATCAATTATTATAATTAATAAATAAATATTATTTTTAAAATGAAAAAAGAAAAAGTAAAGTTAAAAAGATACAATTAATAGATAAATATTACTTTTAAAATTGAAAAAAATGAAAAGGTAAAGAAGCCCAAAAAGACAAATTATCACAATTAATTATTAAAATTTATTATATATATTATATAATTAATTTTATATCATTAATGAACATATTTGTTGACAAATTTATTAATTTAAAATGTATTATTTTCAAAAGTAAAAGTAATTTGTTTGTCTCTTAAAATTTTAAAAATTTTATTTTGTGGAACAAATTCCTTTGAATTTTTATATAAAGTTGGTAACAAATTTTTAATTAAAATTTTTATTCTATTTTTATCATCTAATAATTCATGAAATTATAAGAAGAATTATATTGTTTTACATTTATTTTTTATTTTTAATTGATAATCAAATTCAATAATTTTTATTTGATTCTTTTATTTACAAATAATGATAAATGCTCTTTGTACTATCTATTTTTCACTTTAAAACTTTTTACTGGATTTGATAAACTTGAGTCTTTTACATTGTTAATTAAAAATAAAAATATTTTACCTAAGTTTTTAAACTAATTAATTAGTAACATGTCTCTTTTAGCATTAGAATTGCAAATTCATCAATATAATTTACAAGATCAATTTTTATGTAAAGAGTAGTTAATTTTTCTTTTGAATAAATTTTAAAATGCAATTATATTAAAACTTAAGAACCTGTTATATTCTTTATGTCAATGTTGTTTGTTTTTATGTAGAAAACATAATTTGATTAAAAGCTTTGCAAATAATATTTAGATTAAATCTTAATAAAGTAAAACCACTTAAATATAACTAATATAAACCAATTTTAAAGAATTTTATTCCTAACAATATTTTAATAATGAATTCAAATGCAATATGGCATTAAACTCCTTAAAAGTTAGTCTGTTAAGAAATATAGATTTTAGTGCAAATTAAATTGTAAGAATTTATAATGCATCTCATTATTCAAATTAATGGAATATTGCACAAGTATCTAAGATTTTCATTAACATTTTTTGCACTTAATTTTGTATTTGTATTTGTATTTGTCAATATATAGTTTGTATCATTTGTAATAGTAACAAGATATTATCTTCTCTTTAGATAAATAAAACACATTGTCTATGGAAAAAAATAAAATTGAAATAGAATAAATATGTGATATAAACAATATATTTTTCATACATCAAATAACTAAAAGAACAATAAAGTTAGCATTTGTGTTCAAATTGTTATGACATAGGGAACAATTTAATCCATATTTAATATTGTGATTTTCATGTTTATATTTAAAATTTAAGTACAATATTTAAAAAGAGAAATAAATATGATATTGATGATACAATATAAAATCATATAATTATCAAAATTTTATAAATTTTAATACTACCCAATTATAAAGTTAACCGTATAAAGCACATGGATAAAAAAAACTTAATTTACTAAAAATGTAATTAAGAGCATTGATTGGTCATTCCACGAAGAGATGACAATTAGGTAGGTGAAATTCATATTTGGAATAAGGATTTGCATAGTGTAATGTTTGAATCATTTTAATTTTGGTATTTCATAACTTCGAGTTAGATTTTAGACATAAGTCTAAAATCAATTAGGTTGTGTTAATTTTTGTTATTCACTTTTATTTGAAGTATACTCAATTACGCAATAATTAATTAGTGCATGCTTCTATTTAAACTTGAACCATCCCATCCTTCTTATGTCCGTGTGGTGTGTGTGTCTACATATATATATATATATATATATATATAATATGCCCAATTACTTATTGTTATAATTTTACATTAAAAATTATTCCTACAAATTACTTTAACGAATGCTAGCATTAAGACCATAAAAGTAAAATATCCAAAATGAAGAAAAGATGCGCAAATAAAAAATTTTTAAATATTAAAGATGAACAAAAAGTTACACTGGATTTCAATTGAATTATTATTTCAATTTGAATTTTGATTATTTTCAATCATTTTGTGTTTCAAACTATTAGTAGGTCATTTTTTAAATTAGTTCAAATAAAAAGAATTTATATTATATTTAATTTGAATTTTGAATTGTTTTATATTGTGTTGATTTAAATTCAATGTTTTATAGTTAAGTTTATAAACAAAGATGGGACACATGTTCAAAAAACCAAGTTAATTAAAATGCATGTATCAAATATGTAATAACTCAAAGAAATAGGCAAAGAGAGGAAAGACTTTGCATATTGTGCCTTGCAAAATGGAGCCAAAATTGATGACAAAAGTGTTTTTCAGGTAATTAATACTCGAACAGCATCCCAAAAGCCCTAACATCACATCAAATTGTATTAATTTGGTATTGGATGGAGAAAATGATATCAGAACTGGGGATCAAAATCCAAGCAATGCTGGAGCTATCCTAAGCAATGGCTCTAGAGAGCTCGGATGAAACTTCCTGGCAAAGAGGAAGCAAATTGAGCTTGTGTGATCATTATAAGTACAATTTAATCCTTGCCTCAGTTGAGTCAATAATGCAACTGATACATCTTTTCTCACATATCTTGTAGGGTGTGGGCCAACTCTGGACCAATCAACCCATGTAATGCTCCTATTTGAATTTAGCCCCGGGCAAATTATGTTCACAAGAGTAGGAAGGTAATGTTCATCTATGTAACATGGAGGACTGCAATGGTCTCTAAAGACAGGATAGTATTTTTCATCAGATACTATCTCAAAGGCAAGCTTTCGGATAACCTCAAACCATTGCGAGCCTTTGCGCCAATCTGCCAATGACACAGTCGGCCACATCTGCTTATTGTACCGGCCACGGCCAGTGCGCCTTGGATCATCAAATGAAACAAGGAAGCAGTGGGTGGAGTTGATAAGGTAGTTGTAAACTGTGGTGAAGTTGAATAGTGGGATTCATGTCTCGGAAAGTAGCACAAATCTTTGATTGTAGAAGTCAAGCAACCCATTGGCTAACAGGGGCTGAGCATCGATCATTGTTGCGCTTCCCCAATGGACAGGCTGCAAAAGAGAATTGGATTTAGATAAGAAAATTTCAAATCAATTCATCACCTATTTACATTTCTAACCTTTCTTGTTATCCTGCGCTTGTAAAAGACTGAGGTTACTGGTGGCTCATCAATGAATTCTGGAGATGTATGGATGTCAATTAAGTAAAGGCCTTTATGTCCCATCAAGAACTTTTCCCAGAGGGGTGCCAAAAGTAGTCTTACTCTGCTTAAAAACATGAAAGCCACCTTTGGGGTTCGGTTGAATGGATATTCGACAATATTTGGTGCCATAGAGACACGCCAAATTAGCTCCTCATCAGTCATCGAATGCCACACCTCCTGGACCTGCGGAGCTATCCAAGCTTTCGGCCGGTAGGAGAGGGATGAAGGGAAAGCAAAGTTACAAATTAGAATGTAGGAATATGGACACAAGGGTGATGGCGGAGAAAATCTGTTGAGTCAAGGGAAGTAAGGGTCCTCTTTTACTAAGAACTTTCTGACCTGGTAATTGATGAACGTCCCAAGAACGACCACAAAAGTAGCCATTGACAAGAGAAACAACATGGTTATTGTAATATGAAGCTTCCCTACTCTAAATTTTCTTCTAAAGCGAGAGAGGAGTTCCTTTTCGAAACAAGTTATTTCAAACTGCTTCATTCTCACAAGTTTTTGATAATGAAAATTATTATAATATGGAAATTAGGCTTGAGAAGGGTGTTTTAAGGCAACGAGGCAGTTGTGCTAGAGTTTTAGGTAGGGCCTAAAATGCTCTGCATCAAGTAATGTACACATGGATGGTGCCAGAAAGAATCGAAAATCCCATTTAAAAGCTATTCCTTATTTGGAGGAGAAAGCAGAGAGAAAAAGGGGGGGCGGCAATGTTAGGATTGCAGCAATTTCATTCTTAAAAGATGGATAAAGTGGACATTTTTCTGTTTCTGGCAGTGGGGCGTTATCCGGTACTAGAAATGATTGAAGGATACCCATGAATTGACCCCTGGTTGCTCATATTGATCGCATCCCGCTGAAATGAAAACCATGTGATGTGACGACAGAAATGCACAGAAATTACAACAAAAGTGGTCAATCGCTCTGGTTTTAAACAAAAGCCCTAGCTGTGCTCTTAGAATCACTTTGGTTCTTTTAGCTTTGGCATCAAAATTCAAAAGTAAAATACAGTAGGCAAATATTGGAAGAAATTGCACCATCACATACCTATATCAATGGATTCAACTGATTTTGGTTGTGCCTGCATTAACCAAACCTGTTTAAGGGCTAGTGTGGTGCAAGATCTGGCAGATAATCATCCATTAAACAATCAAACTCAGCATTTTCTCCAACTACTGTACTTTTGATCTTTCTTAACACTACAAGACAATGAGTATTTTACAACAGATACAGTCATTACAAAATAATAATTTATTGTTATTAAAATTTTTTTGAAACAGTTTTTTGTTGTTGCATGATCGTTGCTATTAACTTCATTGATAAAAAATTAGCGCAATAACTTATATTGTCATTAAAAAATATATATTGCAACGACTTTCACAACATAAAATGTCGTAGTGTAAAATTTATTTTAGCAACAATAAATTTTAATTACAAAAAATTTTATATAACATTATTATTATAGTTGCAAAAAAAATTTTATAACAATATTATTTTGGTTACCAAATTTTTTACATAAAAAAAAAATTGTAGTTGCTAAAAATTATTTTATAACGACAAAATATTGTTCTATAAACTTTATTTTAGTAACCATACAATTTGGTTATAAAAAACTCTTACATAATAATATTAGCTTTATTACATAAAATATTTCGTAACGATTAAATATTATTATTTTAACTTTTTTTAGCAACCACAAAATTTGATTATAAAAACCTTTTATGTAATAATATTACTTTTGTTGCCTTATAATATTTTGTAATATAATTATATATAGTTACTAATTATGTTTAGCATCATGATTTTTGTTGTTTCGATAAATAATTTTAATAACGATAATCATTGAAAAATCTTTTACATATCTATTATTGTCGTTGGTAAAATTATTTTCACAATTCTTTTTTTTTTTAATTTTAACAACAAATTTTATCATTGCCAATTTTTTAACACAACTAATTTAATTAATTGTAGCAACGATTATTATTGTTGCATGAATATTTTTTAAAATTTCTTTCTACGTTTCGTAACAACTTTATTATTGCCAATCATAAAATTATGTAAGTTATCATTTTATTCGTAAATAAAATAAAAAATATATTTCTACTATATCGGCTCCATGTTGGCTCCACATGAGTTATATCACATTTACAATGAGTCCAATCAGTGAAAAATAAAAAAAAATTCATTTCTTTACATCCTTGACTACGTCTAGATGCCTTAAGACCTACATTATCCACACGGACAAATCAGCAAAGCCTATTGCCTTATCCACCCATCCCTATCATCAATAAATGGCTTTTCCCTATTACATCTCTACACTTACAATCATATAATAGATGGCTTTAGTGTTGTGTTATCCTGTGAATGTAAACATATCATTCTCATGCCAATAATTAAGATTAACCTATTTGGCTTAGAGATTTTAAAAGGAGAAATACTAGTAAAAGCTAGTTATGATGGTACCTTATGTGTAAGGTAATGTATGGCTTATTATTTTTCTTTAGTCTATCAACTAAAATCCTTTCATTATCCTATATCTCTTTTATATATCGAAAAGCCTCATAATTAGTACTACACCTTAGTCTTTGAATTGAGGTCACAAGACCATTATTAGCAATCCTTGAATCACTATGTGTGAACTTGATCACTTTAGGTCACTTTAGTAATGGGAGAACCTCATTTTTTATAATAAGTAGCCTACAAATCAAGCATTTAAATCACCTTCTAGTAACATTAAATCAAATAAAATATCATCATGCATTTAACAAATTTCAATCATTTTCATACCTTTTACTAGGAAATAGGGGGCCTTTATAAGGGGTTTTATTAGTGTCTACTTAATGAATAGATACTCAAACAATTTTAATATCATCTTTCAACACATTGATGAAATGCCTCCAGTAAAAAATATCCTTAAAATCACTGTCCAAAATGTATTAAAAAAGTTAACTTTTTGAAATTTATAATAATGAACAAATACAACATCAAACTACTATAGTAATTAATATTACCTTGGGTTTGTCCAAAATGACTCATGATCAAGAGAATGAAAAACCAAGGTTGCATCCATTATCTTGGCAACATTAACGATATCACATATCTATCAGTCAATAGAACGAACAAAATAGGTTATGAAAAAGATTAAAAAGAAAAAAAATAAAAAATCAAAGGTCTATCCAAGTCTATGAAAAACAAAGTTGTCAAGAGTCAAACTTAGCCCTATTCTCATTTGATTCAATACACCATTGGCATGAACAATAATATAACCATTAGTCTTTGATCCAGTCCTTGAATAAGTTAGTTCATATTATTAATAAAAATCACATACAAATATCTTTCTCTCTCTATTTTTTGTAAGTGCTTAACATGTTGAAAAAGGAATATGACATCTTATTCATTTCTTAGGTCGAGATATACATTATTGATAATTTTCACTATTTGGTTTCATCCAAATTTCTAAAAATGCAATGAAAGCTTTATTAGGGTCAACATGAAAATGCAAATGAATGTTTGATTTGTCATTCATTTAGATGGAAGTCAACTACAGTAAGGAAAAATATCCTTCACAAAGTTTTACAATATTTTTCTCTCAAATTCCAATTGAAAAGGCTATATATGTCAGAAAAAATAGTGCGTTTCATGAGGTGGCACAATGAAAAATGGGTATATGATGGTAGATTGAGACATCCTGCAAACTTTATTACTTGAAAGTCATTCAATAATCAGCATACTACATTTGCTTTTGATCCTAAAAATGTGAGACTTGGTTTAGCTTGTGATTGGTTCCAACTTTTTGGAAACATAAGCTTACAACATAGTATTTGGCCTGTAGTATTTGTTTCATATAACCTCATTAGATGTGTATGAAGGAACCATATTTTATACTTTCACTTTTAATATTGAGACCTAAATCTCTAAAAATGAACATAGATGTGTATTTGAAACCATTGATTGAAAAACTCAAGAAGTTATGGAAGAAAGATTTGACATATATGATGCTTATAGTAAGCAAAATTTTAAATTGCATATAGTAGTTCTTTGGACGATTAGTGATTTTTCTACCTATGTATATTTATCAGAGTGGTCAATAAAAGGTCATCTTGCATGCCCTTCATGCCACAAAGGCATTGTTTCTATTTCACTTAAAGGTGCACGTAAAGTACGCTATATGTGTCATTGATGATTTTTACCTAAAGACAACAAGTGGGGAAAAGATCAAATGTCATTTAATGGAACTAAAGAAATGAGACAAGCATCAAAACAATTGGATGAAAAAAAAGGGCTAAGGCATTTTGATTTGTTCCAATAGTGTACATTAGGTAAAGCAATAAAAAAATATATGATACAACTAATAGTATTTTTAATTGAAGGAAAAAAAAAGCATATTCTTTCAATTACACTAGTGGAAGATACTTATTTTGTATCATAACTTAGATGTCATTCATATTGAAAAGAATGTTTGTGATAATGTACTTGAATTATTGATGAATATTAAGGGAAAAAAAAGACAATTTGAAGTCATTATGTTCAGTAAATATTGGTATAATGTTAAAATTTCATCTAGTTTTAGATGGAGTAAACATTTGAATGCCAACTATTTGTTATGCTTTGACTAATGAAGAGAAATCAATTGTATGTAGCTTATTGATAAAATTAAAAACTCTTAATGGTTATTTGTCCAATATTTCTCAGTTTGTAATGAAAAAGAAAAAAAGGTATCATCTATGAAGAGTCATGATAGACATGTGTTTTTAGAGCAATTTCTTTCTTGAGTTATATGTGGACTATTATCTAAAGAAGCTTGTCATCCTTTAGTCAAATTAAGTATTTTCTTTTGAGACCTATGCTCTAAAAGTCTTGATGTTGATAACCTTTGTTACTTATAAAAGCAAATAGTCTTAACATTATGTAACCTTGAGATGATTTTGCCCATTTTTTTCTTTGATATTATGGTGCACTTGACAGTACATTTAACTTACAAAACTAAACATGCTAGTATAGTAACTTTTCGATGAATGTATCTTGTTGAAAGGTAATTTTCACAATCTCACTATATTATTTTGTCATTCATTATCTAACTAATAATTATGTATAAACATTCATTTCATGTACTATTTAATTATTAGGTAGTTACGAAAATTAAAGTCATATCGTACAATAAGGCATACCCAAAAGGTTTAATCGCTACAAGTTTTCTAGTTAATGAATGTTTTACTTTTTATTTAAGGTATTTGAAAGATATTAACATTCAGTTTAATCAACAAATGTGCAATGATGATGGTTGTCTTGTGTCTCAATTGATTGATGGCCTTCAAATTTTTATTCAAGTTAGTCGTACTATAAGGAAGGGCATTGTGAATGATCTAACTTTGATCGAGTTAAATTAATCACATATGTCCTAAATAATTGTGATGAAGTCTAACCTTTTATACAGTATATTCTATCAACTATTATTTGTTTATTATAATCTTTTACAAAATTCAATTATT